GGGATGAGGTTTGTTTTTGGGGGGGGGGGTGGAGAACTAACACTGGGCTCATGTTCGAAAAGAACATCAGATGAGCCTATAATGTCCCAATATATCCAAAGACAGGATACACATTGGTTATTCTTTTTAAAGCTGCCTTAAAATAATTTGAAAGTAAGTCAAAGTATCCATTTTTAAATCTAGATGGGAGAAATATGGATATTTGTCATTTTCCTCTTTCTTTTTATATTTTCTTCAGTTTCTCAATCATCTGCCTTCAAAAAAGGTGCTGTTTACCCCTCCCCCAAAAAAATAAAAAACAAAAAATAAAACATCATTCTATATAGGACAAACATTAGTACCCACACTCATGATCGATCTGTCTAATGACGTGCTCAAATCATATTTTTTCCTTCTATTTGACACAAGCAAAGAGTTCAGCGGAAATTAGCTCACACTTACGCATATAAGGTAGTTTCTCTGGGCAGGGGAGGTGTGGTGAATACGTGAAGTTTTCTGGAAGATATGTTGTAGTTTGGACAAGATAGTCACTGGAATTGTTGCCTTCAGGATAATCTTGGAGAGAAAAGAGAAAACAGAAAGAGAGAGTTAAATGCAAACACTGCCTTTGCTTGGCCTGCAGATGAAGCTGCCGATGGGCTGAGGGGACAGTGAGAGCAGGCACTGGGAACAACAGCCTGGGAACCACAGCATAGCTGAGATGGGCCCTCAGCAGGATGTCGCCTCTCCTCACACACACACCACAGTGCCTGTCACAGCTGTAGGAGGCCACCCACTTCCACACCTCCACAGCTGGGCCAGATGTAAAGGCACACAAGACCTCCGCCTTCCAACAGCCACACTTGTCCCTGCTCTACCACCAACCTCCCAGAGCAGAGGGGCTCGTGGTGTCTCCCCAGCACCTCACACATAAGAAGTCATTTACACACTCAGCTAACTTCTGGAACACGGCCTTTGTCAGTCACTCTTACCCTGCAGGCTGCCACCCTGGGAAGCCTGGAGCTGTTCAATTTGGCCCATTCTCCCGAGGGTCAGCAAGTTACAATACACACAGGGCAATGGCCTACAGCACCAAAGTCAAAGCCCAAGTTCAAATCCTCCCTTTAGCACAAGCTCGATTTCAGAGCGGGGCACTGCGGTCTCCGACTTGCTCCTTGCTACCAGCATTTTCCGATTCAACAGGATGAGAAAACCTGAGGAGACTCGTGAGATGGCTAAGTGGGGACCTGAAGTCAGATCCCCATAGCCCACAAAAACATCTATAACCACAGCACTGGGGGAGATGGGGAAACAGGAGAATCAAGGGGTTCTTTGAACAATCAGTCTAACCAAAACAGCAAGCTCCATGTTCAGTGTGAGACCACTGGTCTCAAAAAGTACGGTACACAGTGATACAGGAAAACACCTGATGTCAACCTCTGGCCTCCACACATGTGTAGAAGAGTGAATACACACACACACACACACACACAAATGCACACACATACTCACCTGAAGAGCTTAGAAAAAGCCCATAAAATATTCAGTGGTTTTGGTTGTGAGAGACTCAGACATAAGTACATACATGACCCCACATAAAGCAGTTCCAAACATTCAATTTTGAACATGGAACCCAAATCATAGTTCGGCCTCTTCCAGGGTAAAGTTATAAAATGCAAAATCTGAAAGCCAGGATGTGCCTGTTTCCTGCTGTATGAAGGAAGCTGGTCTAAGAGATAGTGGTAAAACCACAGCGTCCAACGAAGGACGCAGAAAATGAAGCATTACAGACCCTTTAGGAAAATGTGGCACATTCCTCCAATCTTCAGCAGCCTGCTCTGGTGGAAAGACTGTAAAAGCCAAGCCCTCTGACCCATGAGAAAACGGCATGCACAAGGTTGTGATGCACGTGAAAAGAGTCACACAAAGAGTACACAAATTATCAGCAGCAAATGGAGTGGATGGGGCTGCAGCCTGGGAACCAGGGCAACACTTCAGAGCTAATGCAGCCTCTATCTGTCCCCTGAGGAAAGAGGGCCCTTCCAGGACTGCTTATAGGTAGAATCAAGGAAGAACAGACGCTAAAAGAAGAAGGCCCATTCCCAAAGGCCTGCATGGAAATCCCAGCTAGGAACTGCAGGGCACACCAGTGAGGCATTAACTGAACTACCAAAAACCCCACCAGGATAAACGGAGACCAGCACTGGCATACCACGAAGGCCCATTCCACCAGGGTATGGGAAGGGTCCTGTGAGAGGGTCCCCAGGCCTCTTGGAGGAACCCTGGAAAGCAGTTGACAGGGAACCCCTCCAAGCCATGGGGGCAGGAAAGACTGAACAGCCATGCTTTTATGTGCCCAGGGACAGGGCAAGGCCACAGAAACGCCCCTCAGGGCCACACTCTGCACCCTCACGCAAATGCATCTGAGAGACTTGCCCTGCACTAAACATAAACCAAACCATGAGGTTCACGAGTCTCTGAACCTCTCCAGATGCTTTATAAACATGTATCTGGATATATCAAATTGCAGGTCACATTCTAAAAACAATTTTTCCTTTTAGAGAGACTTCTGTTCTGCCCCATTGCGAGGAGCTGCTGTAAAACATGAGTTAGGATTCTTTACTGTTGCTAAAAATACCCAAGTTTACTACTACTACCCTGAGTTTCAGCATAGCTTTGTCAAACTCCTTGATTTACACTTTAGAGTTGCTTACCTTTAATGAATAAATAGACTTCTCTGCTTATGAAAATTAACTTAAACTTTTTTTCATTTGAAAAATCATTCTTATTTTAGGTCCACAGTAAGAAAAACCAAAAGAATTCTTAAAAGTTACAAGTTTGTGAAAATTAAACCGTTTTTATTTTATTTTATGTGCATGAATGTATTGCCTGCATGTATGTAAGTGCACCCATATCATGCAATACCCTCAGAGGTCAGAAGAGGGCGCTGGATCCCCTGGAACTGGAGTAACAGAAAACTGTTAGTAGCCATGTGGGTGCTGGGAACTGAACCTGGGTCCTCTGCAAGAGCAGCCAGTGCTCTTAACCACTGAGTCATCTCTCCAGCCCCAGTTTGTGAAAACTGTTAAAAATCATATGGAAGAGTTATCATAGAGTCAAAGCAATTTCCCAGAAAGTAGAAAGAAAAGAAAAGGAAAAAAAAAAAAAACTAGAAAACAGTAGAGAAAAACAGGAGGAGATGCAGGAGGAGAGACCAAATAATCAGAAAAATCATAACAAAGGAATACTTCATAGAACTGGAAGGCAATGTTCCCACAGCCATGGGTTCAGTGATACTCAGTTAGAGAAGAAAAATTAAGAGGAAGCTATTGCTCTTTATAAATTTTGATAGTCAAAAAAAAGATAAAAAAGAAGAAGAAAAGAGGATGAATCCCAAGTCTCCAAAAATGAAATAAACAAATAAGCTGGCCACCACACAAAAGCAACACTGGTAGAGAGAATGATAGCATGGGATCCTGGAAATCCTTCATGAGCACAGTCCACCATGTGCCTAAGGAGCCCAGGAAAACCCCAGTGATCAATGTGCAGAAAGCTTAGTGAACAGAGGAAAGAGCTACCAAGCAATGTCACTGAAAATACAAAGTTGGCAAAACAATGACAACTGTTTGACTCCAGGAGCAAACCAACCCTCATTTATATTCTGAGCTCTGCTGAGTCCTGATGCTATAGTGAGGGTAGGGGCTGGGGAGGCAGGGTGTGCTGTCAAATACCCAGTGTCTTTCTTCCCAGGCAGGAAAGGTTACAACTGATAAGCCAAACAGCAGAGGAGGGCTGGGGTGAGCTCAGCACTACAGCACATGCCCAGCATGCCCCTGGCTCCATCAGGGAGGGAGGGAGGGAGGGAGGGAGGGAGGGAGGACAGAATAGACATGAAAATAAATACAGAATAAACTTAAACATTAAAGGTTGTTCTCATTGAAGATTGGAACTCAGGGAGGAGTGAGAGGAGATGGTGTTATGATAATCCTCTTCTATGTTTTTAAAAGGTATTAAAGTAAAAATATGAAGAAAGCATTTCATATAGTTTTCTTTTGATATGAAATCAATGGTTAAAACAAAAAATACAAAATAGGAAGTTTAAAGTTACATAGTTTCTCTCTCTTTCTCTCTCTCTCTCTCTCTCTCTCTCTCTCTCTCTCTTTCTCTCTCTCTCTCTCTCTCTCTCTCTCTCTCTCTCTCTCTCTCACACACACACACACACACACACACACACACACACAGAGTTCATCTTCTTAAAACTTCTTTCTATATACATCACCAGAAAGAACAGATAGTCTAGCTATATAAAAAGGATGATGTGGTGGTTTGAATGAAAACATTGCCCATAGGCGCCAAGTAGTTGGACATTTTGTCCCCAGATGGTGGGGCTTTTTTGAGGGGAAGTCTTAGAAGGTATGGCTATCCTGGAGGAAGGACATCACTGGGGGCGGGCTTAGAGAGTTCTTAAGCCTTTCTGGATCTCCAGTAGCTCTCTTGCTTCCTCTGCCTGCTTGAAGATGTAGAAACTGGCTTCCGCTCCCCTGCAGCCATGCCTCCCCACTATGATGGACTCTTGCCCCTTTGGAACTGTAAGCTAAAATAAACTCTTCCTTCTGTAAGTTGCTTTGGGTCAGTGTTTCTATCACAGCAACAGAAAAGTAACTAATACAGATGATTATTCTTACTATCTTCAATTTTCCTGAAGCACCTGTTATATACTACACATTTATAGCAGTTGGAAATAAAAAATAAACAATGTTGTCCCAGAGTCCTGTGCCTTTGTATGCTCTAAACCTCACTTTTTAAAATAATTCTGAGGCCGGGGCTGGAGAGATGGCTCAGCGGTTAAGAGCGCTGACTGCTCTTGCAGAGGACCCGGGTTCATTTCCCAGCACCCACATGGCAGCTATGAACCATCTTTAACTCCAGTCCCAGGGGAATCCGAAGCCCTCTTCTGACCTCCGCAGCATTGCATGACATGGGTGCATGCGCGTACATGCAGGCAATACACTCATACACATAAAATAAAAATAATCAATAAAATATTTTTTTTTAATTCTGAGGCCAAAAAAATACCAATATTGTCATCCAGCCCCTAGTACTATGCTTGTCTGTTTTGAGGTTATTTGGCTGCATTGAGGTCTCACTGTAGCTCAGGGTAGCCTGGCACTCAATCACCGTGCAGCCCAGCCTCAGACTTGCACCCATTCTCCTGCCTCAGCCTCCCAAATGCTGGGATTTCAGGTCTGAGCCACCACATCTAAATCTCAAGTGATTTAATTAATTATTATTTTAATTACATGTGTGTGGTCTGTGTCTAAGTATCCACACATGCATTCAGATGCCCACAGAGACCAGAACAGGATATCCAAGCCCCTGAAGCTGGAGTTACAGGCAGCTGTGAGCCACCTGCTACAGGTCCTGGGAACCAAATTCAGGTCTTCTGTAAGAGCAGGGGATGCTCTTAACTGCTGGGTCATCTCTGCAGCCCTCAAGTGATTTCCTAATGTTCTATATTAACAATATTTGGGCCTCTTTTCTACCACATGTCGTGACGCTATAGACCCACATCCAACTTCCTGAAATTTCATGCTTAGATCTTTCTATAAAACATACTTATCCACCACTCCCTATGGGCTGACTGAGGTCAGAAGGAAAGCCAGAGAGAACAATCTTCCTTTTAATTTAGGGCTAGAATAACTCAATCTTTCATTTAAAAAATGCAATCATCACTTTTATCCAATTTTTTAAAACCAAACAATTTTCAAATGCCACAGCACTGTAAAGGACCATAAGGAGTTGAAGTCACTGCAAGACTTACAGAAATGCTCAATCCCTTTATCTTGTGCCATTCCCACCAAATCCATACACCACCCCAGCCTCGAGCCTGGACATCACTTCTAATTGAAATCAACCTGTCTTTGACTTCCAGCATCTATAAGGTAATGAAGACAGAGCAGAAACATATTTCAGGTAAACATGCTACGGCTGATTATACAGCAGAATGGTTTAAGCTTTTGGAGACAATACTGTAATAAACCCACAAAACCATTATTCCTATAAAGGTGGGGTTAGCAATGTTCACAAGTCTAACCACTGCTTTCAAAGCCCTACACAGTCTCCAAAGGTACATAGGACAAGCGCATTTGAAATCCACCTCAGCTGCCCTGAAAGGCAGACGTTATTTCATCTAATGAAAGGATGGGAACAAAATGAGCTACAGGCCCTGTCCACTTCCTCCTTTCTGGAACCACACCCAGAGAAAAGAAAAACACTAAACAGAAAGTTCTAGACATGTCCCCCATCCAGAGTAAACTGGAAAGGACAGGGAAAGGAAAAGAGGACTGAAGGACGCCTCTCAAAGGCTTCATTCTACTAAAGGGAAACTTAGAAGGGGTTAGGGAACTCTGGAGAATTCTGATCTGCTTGTCTCTGACCAGCAGGGTCAAGTGAGCCACACCCAGTGATCTCACTTTACACATCTGTCAAATAAGGAAATGTGCTGGGTTCACTCTACACTGCACAGCCCTGATCACTAGCTATAGCCATTATTCAACAAACACACCTATTTCCTTAATTCCTAAAAGGAAAGGCATCGTTTGATTCTGATAGCACCTGATTTTTATACAGAAGTATTATATATCTATTTATACTTGATGGTACCTAATGTCAGATAAGAGTGTTGAAATGTTTTTGAAATCAAGCATGCTCATAAAAATCATGACCTATTTACCTTTTAGTCGCTAGGTATTAATCCACTCTCCTCTAGAGCTCACTTAGGTCTTTGTACATTTTATTGGCCTCCGTTTGCAAATTATATCTGTCTAAATCTGTGCAGAATAATTATATGCATTATAAGCAAGTATGCCTCCATCTCTCCCAGGAGCCTGGGGGTTCCTCAGACACAAGAAGAAAGCTTTTCTAACACTGTATCTTCCGTATCTACTTAAGAACATGACCTGTACTAATTGCTCCATAAATGTTGGCTAAATGAGCCAGCAGAGCCCCAGAGCCGCTGAGGCAGACTCCACTTCCCTTTCTCCTCAGATAACAGAACCCAACTTCCCTCGGGGCACCACTGAGCTCAACTCAAAGACCATCCTTCCCGGTGCCCCTCATGTGGCTGTGATTCCATCCTGGCTAGTGAGACGGTGAGGAAAGACTGGAGGACTCTGTGACGCTCTTAAAGGAGGACCCCACCTGTTCCCCTCCCCTTTCCTTTGCCCTTTCCTGCTGACCCAAGTACATGCACAGAGGTGGCTGACTGGGGTCCCCGAAGTCCCTTGTGCCATGAGCAGGGCAGCAGAGCAGGTGGAAAAGCATACTGTGTCTCCCCATGACAGTCACAGGTAACCAGCTTCCAAAACTTTACCTGAGAACAGAAAGCCTCATATTTCCTGGTATTGTTAGAACCAAACCTGCTTCCTAACCAGTGTGGTGGCTGACGGTCTTCTAAGAACACCTTTCCCATCAGCAGAGGAGTCATATAAAAAGCTCTCAAAGGTTCATACAGGTAAACAACTCTTCATCAAAGTACCAAGTACCCACTGGTTGCTTCATCTTTATTAAAATTACAGTTTAGGGAGAGGAAGGAAGAGTTTGTTTTTTACAGGGTAGGTGTTGTGAGCACACCATCTTCCTCCAGCCACCACTGCTCCTAAGCCAAGCTCAACACCCACATATAGAACTTCATATCCCAGGGTGGAAAAATCTTAATTTTTAGTAATGACACAGATAAATATAGTAACTTAAACATACTTGAAACTTTTTTCCAATTGAATGGATTTCTTTTTCTATTGTTTTTATTGAATTTTGTGCATTTCACACATCTTAATCATATTTAGGTCCCCTCCCCTATCTGCACTCCCCATACCCTTCCCCGGCCCAATGGACTTCATGCATTCTGTCTTATTTAGTTAAGGCCTATCCAGCTGAACAGACTTTTAAATGAACACTTTCACAATCAACGTCTTCAAGCAGCAGGGTCCTAAAGAAGCTTTAAAAGTGTTTATAATACGGCTGATGATGACGGGAAAGAGCAGCTAATGCAGAAGAGAAGGCATGAGAGCCACACTGCTGAAAGCTCAGCTACACGAGACGTCCATCTGAACAAGACTAAGGTTAAAAGAAAAGGTGAACAAAGATCAATTTGGCAAGGCTAGGGGGATGGTACCGCGGTTAAGAGCACTGGGTGCTCTTGCAGAGAACCCAGGTTCAATTCCCAGCACCCACATGGTGGCTAACAACCATCCATAACTCCAGTTCCAGGGGATCTGACGCTCTCTTCTGTCCTCTGCGGGCATTGCACAACACAGATGCACTTAGATATATTCAGGAGATACACTCACTCATACGCATAAAATAAAAGTAAATTCTAAAAGCAGGAATCCCACCGTAACTGGGAGACAAAGGCCTTCCAGTGCGGAGCAGGAAACAGACAGTGAGAACTTGGACTGGAGGTTTGCAGTGGGACAAGGAGATGCTGCTGTGCTGGCACAGACGCCTTCAGATACTAAACGTGAAGGATGTAACAATGGACAAACCCACTGACCTTCCAAAGTGACATCATACTACTCTGGCAGACACTGTAGGCACACTGCCATGGAGAAGCATCAGTACCCTTCCACGACAGAGAAATGAAGCCACTTATACCATCAGTGAATCACTGGTTTGGTCTATTAGGACTTGGCCTATGTGGAGACACTACTTCTAGTCAACTTTTAAAAAAGAGCAGTTATTGATTTCTAATACTATCAATGTGTCCTTTACTATCTTTAAAGGTCATAGTATTACTAATTACATCCAAATATCTTACAATCTAGCAGCACACTTAGTAGGAGAGGCCTCCATCTTTAACAGTGAGTTACTTGGAGGCGGACTTTCCTGCTCTGTGGCTCCAGGGGTGCGAAGGGAAGCTGCGCAGTCCTCCAAGCCGCCTTACCTGTCCCATTGAAGGTGGTGTTTTTATTTGTATACAGCCTGATCATGTGTCCAATTGTTTTCACATTTTCTCTCAGCATGATACCTCGAGCTTGTACCATAAAGAGATACGTGTTGGCTATAAAAGAAAAGAAGAATGTCATGTTACTATAACCTTTTCTAGTAAGATAATATTCAGAGTTAGAGAGGTGCCCGAAAGCAGGCACTCCATGACCTTTGGGGAATTACCAGGCTCCAGGGGAAAATGAAATATAAGATGACTATTTCCTACTTTAAAAACTTAAAGGAATAAACATATTTTTTAAATGGGAATGAAAATGGGAATGAAAACAATTAAAGCATCAATATCTATCTAAAAGAACAAGACTAAAGAAACATTAAAATCTTAGTAAATTCCTTAACCACTATAAAATGTATAGACATACTCATTTCCAAAAAGGCATTTTCTGATAGGCACTCAATCCTGTAGTTTAAAATTCACTTCCTTCTTCTTCTGGGGCTGGAGAGATGGCTCAGTGGTTAAGAGCACTGGCTGCTCTTCCAGAGGGCCCAGGTTTGGTTCCTAGCACCCCCACGGCAACTAACAGCCATCTGTAACTCTAGTTCCAGGGGATCCAACTCTCTCTCTGGCTTCTATGGGCTTTGCACAAAGCGGGTTCACTTTCACACACATAAAATAAAGATAAATAAATAAATAAAATATTATTTCACTTTCTAGCTGGGCGTGGTGACATACGCCTTTAGTCCCAACACTTGGGAGGCTGAGGTAGGCAGATCTCTGTGAGTTCAAGGCCACCCTGGTCTACATAATGAGTTCCAGGCTAGCTGCGGCTACAGAGAGACCCTGTCTCAAAAAGACCAAAAAAAAAAAAAAAAAAATTTATTTCACTTTCTTTAACTATGTATTAATTCCGGAAAACCAAAAACTTAACAAAGTAAGGATTCCTTGTTTAACAGTGAATATATGCACCAAAATGGAAATGATCTTCAAATACTTAGCCAAGTCTCAATGTGTTTGAGGGGAGGAGCAATTCAGAATCAGTATCTATTTTGGTCACTTCTAAAACTTAATTACTTGAACTTTTATACCTCCTTTCAGTCATAAAAGATGAAAAATCAACAATTGATATGCATTTTTTTAATATTTTATTTTATTTTTTTTTTTTTTGGTCTTTTTAAGACAGGGTCTCCTTATAGCCCCAGCTGTCCTGGTATGTGTATGCGTGTATTGCCTGCGTGTAGGTAAGTGCACCCGTGTCGTGCAATGCCCATGGAGGTCAGAAGAGGCTGTCAGATCCCCTGGAACTGCAGTAACAGACAGCTGTTAGCTGCCATGTGGGTGCTGGGATTCAAATCCGGATCTTCTGCAAGAACAACCGGCATTCTAAACCACTGAGCCATCTCTCCAGCCCCTCAATATGTATTTTAAGTTTTGACAATTTACTTCTTTCTGCTAAATCTTTCAAAACCAAAGCCCCTAGGGGGGTTGGAGAGATGGTCCAGCAGTTAAGAGTACTTGCTGCTCTCCTAGAGGACCTGAGTTCCATTCTACACACCCAAGTCACAGCTCACAATCACCCGTAACTCCAGTTCCAGGTGATCTAATACCCTCTTCTGGACTCTATGGGCATCTGCACATACATGGCATACACAGACACATACACATACTTTTTTTTAAGCCTCTACTTTCCCTCTTTGGGAGAAACTGGTAAACTGACAAAGATTACAGGACACCCTGATTCAGGTGCCATCCCCCTTAGGCAGACAGGAAACTAAGTCAGAAGTTCCTCTGTGGGGCCTCAATCTACTTGGGAAAGCTTGCTGGACTCCAACCCCATCATTTAAAGAGGCAGCATTGTGTGTGCTCCCTGAAGCCCCTTCCTTGCCAACTTCTTTAATTACAAAGCCCACCTGTCAGAGGAGAGAGCCATTCCCTCAGCAAAGCCAAACACCAGCAAGAATCAGTTAATGAATCTGTCCACAGGATATAAAGCTGACAATGGGCAGAATCAGGACACTCTCAAAAAAATTGAATGCACAGACTGGGGATGTAGCTCAGTTACTAGAGCTTGCATAGCATATGGGAAGCCCTGGCTTCAGTCCCCAGCACCACAAAACCTTTGCTTTCACTTTCAACCCACAAAAGAACAAGACAAATAGAAATCCAGGTTTACCTTAATCACACTCCTTTTTAAAGAGATTTTATTATTATTTTATGTATAGGAGTATTTTGCCTGCACATATGTAAGTGTACCACATGTGTGCTACGCTCACAGAAGCCAGAAAATTCCTTGGAACTGGAATTAAGGATGAGTGTTAGCTACAATGAGGGTGCTGGGAACTGAACCCAGGTCCTCTGGAAGAGCAGTAAGTGGACATAACCACTGAGCACCCTTAATCATGCTTTTAATGCACACTAAAGTAAAGGTAAAGAGTATGGCTACATGCTTTCTAGAAAGGAGTCTTATAATTAGACTCAACTTGTTTAGACTTGAATTTATTATGCCAGGTTAAAAACACAACAAGATTTTATTATGTTTTTGCACTTTTGAGTGGGTGTTAAGATGCTTGGTATAAAGGCATTATCCTGAGTCTTAGAGACATTACAATCTTTAAAATTCATATAGTATACAGTTAGCGTAACTAAACTGTTTAGGAAAATGGATTACTGTATCAAAGGTGAATTGTTTACCAAATAAGTACATTTTATATACATTACATGGATGAAAGAAACGTTAGGCATCAAGCTGGACAGTCAAAAAATGTATTTGTTTATTTAAAATCATTTACAGATAAGTAAATTATAGTCCTCAGGTGAATGGGCCTTGTGGGTTTGGTCCCTAAAGATGAAAACCCATTTGGGAATGAAGATGTGTTTAAATGCAGAGCAGTTTACAGGGACACAGTGAAGTGTCAATGTGTTGCAAGTCACGCTAAACAAACCAGCATGAGAAAACACCATTAAGCTACGCCAACCCACATTCAGCTAAATCCTTGCTAATTATCACTAATATAAAAGGCACTGTGTCGCTGGCAAGATTTTAAGAAGAAATTCTTGTCTAAAATTTCTACTCCGATTTGCAAGAAACTAATTCAGAAAATAAATAGGAAGTCTTTCTCAGCTTTGCCCTTGGGTCTTGAGACAGCTCAGAAATACACTAAAAAAAAAAAATCACTCCTTACTTAAAACCATGCTGTGTGTTCTTTAATTAGCTCATTTTCTAATTGCCTCTGCGTAACGAGACACAAATCCAACTTATTTACCAGCTATGCTTTCCAGAAGGAAGCAAGCGCAAGCGCGTAATACAAAAAAAAAATGTGAATTTTTTCTCACTTTTGCCTTTGGTTTTTAAGAAACCCAAGAATACACTAAAAAAAAAAAATCACTCCTTACTTAAAACCATGCTGTGTGTTCTTTAATTAGCTCATTTTCTAATTGCCTCTGCGTAACGAGACACAAAAACAACTTATTTACCAGCTATGCTTTCCAGAAGGAAGCAAGCGCAAGCGCAAGCGCGCGCGCACACACACACACACACACACACACACACACACACACACACACACACACACACACACACACACACAC